ACGCAATCCACTCCCGTTTTTATTTTGTGAATATATGATATATATAAGCTTCCCTGAAACTGGTTTTGTCATTGAACATCAGTATATTGGATCTGTGTTCCTTTTTCTTGCCTGTATTATACTCCAGAATGGAGCTGGGGTACAACTTAGGTGCCCTGTACTCTGCGTTTCATTGCCCCATCTGACCAAAACACCCTTACATATACTTTTCTGGTAAATTGCATTCTTTAAATAAGATCCCAGATGACCTCAACTCACAGACTGAAGAATCTTGGGGACCATCTGGTGTAACCCCTTTATGTCATAGGTAAACTAAGACCTAACAGAGACACTCACAGTTAGTGAGGGCTGAGTCAGGCCTGATACCCAGGTCTCCCAACTTCTAGACCCTTCTCACTTATAGTAACATGGATATTGTGCTAACAAGACCCACTTTGCCTTCAATCTGGAAAACCAATCCCACTGCCAAACTGACGAGCTCCTACTCACCCTTTGGGTCTCAGCCTGGATGTCACTCCCTCCAGGAAGACTTCCTTGACTCTCCCAGAGTTGGACGGGACATGCCTCCTCCTGCAGGTGCCCTCAGGCCTAGCCCTTCCATGCACTGTCCCAGACGCCTGCCAGGTGATTGCCCACTATACTAGAAGCCGAGGGCCAGGACGGGGGTGGGGGAGCTTGTCAGCCTGCTTCATCAGTCCATGCTGAAAGCTCCCTCTCATTCATTCATTCACGTGTAGGAGAAGATGTCTGCCAGATGCTGGGTGCCGGGAGAGAAGACTCGGGTTGGAGTACTAAAGGAGACTGAAGAGCTTCCAACAAGCCAGGGACTTTAAAAACAAGGGACACTGCTCAATCAGCTGGGGAGCCCAGGGCTCTGAAGACACCTCACTGAAGACACACGACGGGCCTTTGCACAGGTGCAGCAGCCACACTTGCCCAACCCTCAAGACATGTTCTGCTCTGCCCATTTTACAGAAGCGATCTGAGGCTGCCGGCCAAGGACACACACATGGGGCCCCATGATCTCTACTGTAATACAGCCACCCCTCAAAGGGCAGGAAAGCCCCAACTATGAGAGATGCTGTGCTGAAAGGGTCATCTACATGCCAGGAGACCGGGAGTCCAGTCTGAGCTCAGGGTTGGTTTCTGTGTGCCATGTGGAATTCACCTAACCTCTCTGCTCCTTAGTCCTTTCACCTGAAAAATGGGCTGGGTTAGCTCTTGCCCTCTGTCCACAAGGTGGCCTTGTTTTCTCAATCAAGATTTATGCCTTGTGGTCGAACAAGTCTAATCTCACCGACAGAGCATCAGAAAACATGAAGGCCGGGTCCTCGAGACTTACGACTCACGCACACCGTGTGTGTTTGTAGGACACCCCCGGGGGAGGCCTGCAGTCGGGGGTGGGAGTGAAAGAGTAGGTCAGTCCGTTGAAGGGGTCTGCAGGGCCTGTGTGCACACAGCCCAGTGGGGAAATGAGGCCCAAAGCTGGCCGGTCCTCACCCTCAAGGGGGGGGCACAAGGTTTACAGGCCTTTCACGTCATTCTAATAGAAACGACCAGAACCCCTGAGATGCAGGGATGGCTCCCTACACACATTTTTATAGAGCAAGATAATCAGCCTCAGAAAGGGGATATGACCTACTCAAGGTCACCCACCTATTCAGATGGGCCCCCAAAACCTGTACCCCTGCTACCCTCCCCCAATACTCATCATAACACAATAGCTATAGCTCCTGGAGCCCTCAGGATGAATCACAATCCTGACTGTGCTTTGGTTTTAACAGAGAGTCCTCTCATAGTCAACCATATTTTACAAATGGGGGGATTTAGGGAACTTGTCAAGGTTTTATGAAGGAATTTGAGGCCAGTGTTAAATGATAACAAACCCCTGGCTCCACAGAAGAGCTTGGAAAATGGGAAGGAGTCCCTGACCTGTACCTGCAGGACCCACAGCCCGGAGGAGCCCCACTCCCACCTGGGACTCTGCAGGGCACACACGTCCCAGAACCAGCTGTGCCCACCACCGCTGCACCTCTGCCCTTTGCTCTTCCCAAAAGCATCCTTGACACGCAAGCCACAAGAGACAGTCAAGCCCTCCAGGCTCCAGAACCAAGAAATTCCCCACCTCCAGCTCCGTTCCTAGACCTGGCCTCAGGGTCACCCAAGCCCATTTTACAGAGGAGCCAACTGAGACCCTGAGTGGGCAGGGGGTCCTTTTGGGCTGAGATGGACTCCGAGGCAGGTGCCCCCCCCCCCGGGCCAGTGGCCCTCTGCCACTCCTGCCTGCCCCTCAGCTGTCCGTCAGAACAAGAACCACGATCTCAAGTGCCTCTTCCCCCACCTCCCTGCCTCCAAACCAGAGATGGATTGGGCTGAGCAAAGGTGGTGGAAGGGCGCGCTTCTGGAGCTGGAGGGAGAGCTGCCGCAAAACCTGGCCCCTCCTTGGGCGCCCCCTCTCTGGGCTGCCAAGTACAGGTCGTGAAAGATTCAGATCACTGAGTCATTCAACAAATACTCGCGGGGCTCTTCCTACGCTCCACAGAGCTGAGGCGCCTCCTGAGGCCACCAGTTGACCCGTGGTCCTTGGGATCATCCCACAGAGTCGTGCATTCACTCAGCAAACGCTGAGGTCCGACCGGGCACCAGTCGTGTTTCTGCTCCTTCCTCCACGCCGCCCAGTCCAGCCCCTCCCCTTCCCCCCGTGCTGTCCCAAAGTCCCTTGCCACCCCACGCGGCGAGGGCAAATCCTGGGGGTGCTGGAGAGTCACGAAGCCAGAGGGACCGGGCAGCCCGGGAGGACCGGCGGGCAGACGCGCACCGTGGTTACCTGGGCTGGGCCGGGAGCGCAGCGGCCGCCTCTCCCGCTGAGGCCGAGCAGACACTGAGCTGGGGGGGAGCCTGCGGGCCCGGGGGCTGCCTGCCCCCTCCCCACCCTTCGGCCTCTGCCCTCCCGGCCGTCAGGGCGGCCTGGAAAACCCGGCCGGGCGCAGCTGACTTCCTCTTGAGTCATGGAAAGTGCGGTGATGGTGAGGGCAGGAAGCTGCACGCCGGGATCTGGGGTCTGCGTGCGGACTGGGCTGGAGGCCCGGTGGCAGGGAGGGGACCCGACTGGGGTGGCGGCAGGGCGGGTGGGGCTGTGGGAGGCAGAGGATGAAGCAGTGGCTTTGGGGTGTGGGGACCCCGTCCCCCGGACAGGCAGGTCCCACGCCCTAGGGGCCATCCGCGCGCCCTTGGGCTGCTTCCAACTTTCCAAGCACAAATGAATAAACAAACAAAAAGCAGAAAACATGCCCCTGCCTGTGCCGAATACTCCGGTAGGGACTAAGGAGCCCAATTTTCTTTTTTCTTTGCTTTGGGGACGGGCAGGGTGGAGGTAGAGGCAAGGGTTGGTGGGTTCTCGCCTGACACTCTGAGCTTTGGCTTCCTGGGTGTGCAACAGAAAGCCCCACCCGCTCCCTGGGCACGTCAGGAAGGCCCAGGTCTCTGGAACACAAATCCCTCGCCCTGTCAGCGCAAGTCTGTGAAGTCTGGAGACCGGGCGAGGAGGGCCGCCGGGTGCGCACAGCCAGCGTGGCCCGTGCACGCCGAGGCCTCCGCGAGAAATGATGGGGGAGGCCTTGGGGCGGACGCAGGGCGGACACCAGGCCCGTCGCCACACCCCTGGTCCAGAACCATGGCAGACCCGAGGCACGAGGGACCGAACAAGCGAAGCAATGGGTGAAAGCCAGGGCGTTCCCGAGCCGCAGGGCAGCGGGGACCGACACAGGGCAGGGGCAGCCGGGTGAGGCCTCTGCTGGGCAGACACCCCGCCTCACCACCCAGGAAGGACGGGGGGCCCCTCCCGCCCGAGGCAGGGGGTGTGGCCCTCGAGCCAAGATGGAAGCTCTGGTTCCCCGGCCTGGACCTTTCCCCTGGTGAACATAGTCAAACTCCTCCAGCCCTGATGTTAGCAGACGGGGAGTGTGGCCTGGCGGAGCGTGAGTGGCCGCAGCCGGGTGGCTGCCGAGCCGCCCACTGGCCAGGGCGGGGGAGCCCACCGTCCGTGGGAGGGAGAGAGGAGGGAGGAGAGGCTGCAGCCATAGCTGTTCACGCTCAGCTATGGAGTGGCCTTTACTGCTTCACTTCTGCCTGGGATGGCCCGGATCTGAGCAGGGCTGGCAGCCTGGCTCTGGGTCTTGGTCGACCCCACCTGGAAAGCAGAGGCCTGGAGGGAGTCGCTGAACCCACCCAGGGCTGGAAGCTGCAGCCCTACCCTTCAGCCCTGGCCTCCCCACCAGCTCCCAGGACCCAGCGCCCTGAGCCCTGCCCGTCCTCAACAGCCCCAGTGGGACTCTGGGGCAGCATCCATCCAACCAGAGACCGGCACACATTGTCACAGTGAGCGCGCACACACACACACACACACACGCACACACACACACACACACACACACAGCGTTCCTCCCTGCAGGAACCCTCCCCTGCTTGCTGGTAAAATACCACCTGGGGATTCACCTCCAACTCCCACCTCATCACAATCAAAAGGGGAGGTGGAGGCGCCTCTGGATTTCCATCAGGCTGCAGCAAGAACCGTGTTGCACCCTGCGGCCCACTCCGTCCACTCCGGCACAGCTCAGTCCTCAACCTGGGCCCCTGCCCTGCGACCCCACAGACCCGCCCTCCCTCCTGGCAGCTCCACCCCACTTGGGCTCCCCACACCGTGGTCCTGTGCCAGGGTGGCACAGAGGGGCACCTCACACAGCCGCTCCAGCCCGGCCACCCCACGCAGGAAGCTGGCAGAGGCCAGAGGCGCCATTCAAACTCCGGCAGGTGGTTTTACCAGAAGGAAGTTGACAGTTCAACTTCAAACACGGTGACGCAGGCCCGCAGTGCCTGCTCCCCGGCCCACCCCTGCCCACGCCTGCCGCCCCGCCCCTCCTCTCTGGAGGGTGCCTGGAGCCATACACCCTCACCCACGGGTGCTGAACTTGCCGGGACTGAGGCAGGAGGAGGCCGCGCCCATGGGATCTCAGCTACCGCCACTGGCCGCCCTGTACCTGCTGGGGGTGCTGGGTGAGTACCCCTTTGGGGCGTCCGCCAGGGTGTCTGGGAGCAGGAAAGGAGATGCTAATTCTTCCCTTGGTCTGATTCTGGTGCCCACATGTCACCTCTCTAGAGCATCACGGGGGGCATTCAGGCTCCCGCAACTTGGTCTCAGTTCTCAGCCTTGCAGGGACCACCCCGCGGCTGCCATTCTGCTCTGCCTTGCACTGCTGGGGACCTGACTGCGCCCTTCCAGGGGGTGTCCGTGCTCAATTCAGACTCAGCCTGGAAATCAGGGCCACTTCCCTCAGCAGCATCCCCACCCTCACCCGGTGAGTGCCCGGCCTTTACCTGGAAGCCTCCAGGGACGGGAAACTCACCATCCCCCTCGACCTGGGCAGGATGGACCAAGGCAGGGCAGGGACTGCCTCTGAAAAGGCGGCAGAGCAGATGGCAAACGCACACCGTCCTTCTTGTCCTGCCCGTTCGGTCCCAGAGGTCCCAGTCGGGACAGCCAGGCAAGGCTTGAGCACACCCCGGCCTGGAAGAGGGGTCCTGGCCAGTCCCCAGGGGCCACTTGGAAAGTTCCGGGGCTCTGGGGAAGCTGGGAGGGAATGAAGTCAGGGGAGACTGAGCTGGGGCCTCCGCGTGGTGGGGAGGAAGCGGGGTGTCCTCCACCTCAAAGCTGTGGCCCCGGCTCGGGACCAGACCCCCGCCCTGCCCCTGGCACTGGCACCGGGGCATGGGGAGGCGCCTGGGCCAGCCGGGTGAGAGACGGGAGTGCCGGTGGCCAGCGCTCTGGGTCACAGCCCGGGCACCTCCGGGCCGCCATCCTCCCATTCGTAAAACGCAGCGGCGCCAACAGGACGGGCTCCGACCATTTCTCAGGGGCATGGAAGGTCTGGCGGGGTGAGAGAGCTACCTGGCTCCAGGGCTGGGACGAGCGGTGTGGGGGCATCAGGTGGGGACTGGGGGAGCTGTGTCTTCCACGTCTGCCGGGGACTGACTTGGGAGACGTGACTGGCCTGGACAGGGAGCCACAGTCCCTGCTGGAGAGGCCAGCGTGTGAGTGCGTGTGTAAGGGGTGAGTGTGTGAGAAGGGAGTTGTGGATTTGTGTGAGAAGTGTGTGTGTGTGGGCATAGTACACATGGGTGTGCGTGTGAATGTGAGCATCTGTGTGTGAGGATGTGTGTGAATTTGTGTATGTGCATGGGATAAGGGTGTGTGTAAACATGTGTGAGGGGTGTGTGCGTGTGTGTGCACGCGCGTGCTTTCACAGGAGTGGGGGGGCGCTCAGCCCCACATGCAGGTTCACGTCCCCGGCTGTGTTCACGTGGCTGTTCTACATGGAGCTGCTGGAGCAACGGGAGGTACAGAGGCCTCCCGTCCCCAGGGCAGAGGGCGCGGGCCGCCCGGGCTGCCTCCGGGACCCTCCCAGGAGCTACTGGGGCCTCCTGGGCCCTGGGGACTTTAGGCCCTAAGCCTCCACGTACCCTCACCTGTGGCCTCTGACCCCACCAGCTAGGTGGGGGGTGGGAGCCCTGCTCCTACCCCCTGAGGCCCGTCGTGAGGCTGACTCCTGGCAGGACAAGGCAGGGTCTCCGGCCCGCAGAGCCCAGAGTCGGGAGCACAGGGAGGCAGTGCCTTCCCCTGAGTGTGGAAGCCCCTGGAACCCAGGAGCACGCAGTGCCCAGGGCACAAGCGTGCGTGTTGGGGGATCACAGGCATCCCCTGCTCAGAGGGCCACCGCCTGCAAAATACCGTTAAAGCCATTTTCTTCTATACGCTTCACAACAGCCTGCGGCATAGCCTGGGCCAAGTGGCCCCATTTTACAGAGGGGAGAACTAAGACCCCCAAGACCCAAGTGGCAAGTCCAGGCAGGGGTAGCTGGTGAGCAGCAGAGCGACCCCCGCCCTGCACTCATGCCCCCCTGTGATCCCCGGTATCCCCTTGCAAATCACTCCCACAACTAAGAAAATGGCTGCCAGACACAACCAACCACCGCCAGTGACACGCAGCCACCAAGGGCCGTGCTGGGACTGGCCGCAGCACAGGCACCCTTCCAGCCGTCCCAGGAAGAGAGGCCTTCTGCCCGCGCCCCAGGTGCCAGCTCCCTGACTGGCCGTGGGGGCTGTGCCTGTGCCCTGGGGACCTTGAGGTGTGAAGATGCCCACGGCTGGCCTGAGGTGTCAGGGACCAGGCTTCCCACAGGCGCCGATCCGGCCCTACCCGTAGCCCCAGCCTGCCTGGGGAGCACCTGCTGCTGGGGGTGCAGGGAGGCAGCCCTGGGCCCTACAGGTGGTGCCCAGGCTGGACTCCAGAAGCCAGCACTGGGGCACGGGACAGTCAGGGACTTGGGGTTTGAATTCCCGTCTGCACTTGCCAACTGGGTGACCTTGGGCTCTTTCTGGTAGCTTCCGTTAGCTTTTCTGTACAGTGGGAATGACGGACACACCGGCCTCGTGGATCCGTAAGGACTGAATGGCACAGGGAACGTGGAGCTTCGGCAGGAGGGTCTCGTCGTGTAGGAAGTGCTCAGGAAGCGCCAGTGATTCCTGGGGCCAGTATGTGCTCGCAGGTATCATCACCATCAGAGTCAGCAAGAAACAAGGCCGGGCCGGCCCTGGTGGGAAGGGGTCCTGCCGGACGTCAGGGAGCCAGCAGCTTTCCCTCCCCCAGTCCTCTTGCACAGGCTGTTCATTCATTCATTCATTCATTCATTCGTTCATCTGTCAGACTGAGCGTCTGCTCTGCGTTCAGCTCTGTGCAAAGTTCTGGGGTGCAGCAGGGAACAAACCCGGAGCGCCGCCCCGCACGGAGCTGGCACATGCACAGGGCTCCAGAGACCCCTTAGAGGACACAGGCTGACTGGCACCCAAAAAGTATTTCTAAATACAGCGAGAAGTGCAGGGGAGGAAGTGAAGGGTGAGATGCAGGGACCGAGTGCACTGAGGGACTGTCCCCCAGGCTGGGCAGGCGGGAGGGCCTCTCTGAGGCGGTGCGGCCTCACTGAGAGAGAAAGATGGAAGGAGTCAGTCAGGCAGAGAAAAGGGGAACAACGCCCGCAGGGACTGGCAGAGGGAGACAGGCCGAGGGGCTGGGCCCACACAGGAGAGGAGGGGATAGGCTCCAGGAAGGAGCAGGCTGCCTGGCCGGGCCCAGGCTGCAGAGGCGGAGGCCCTTGCTGGCCCTTGTTGGCACTGGGCACAAGGCACCATGCCCGGAGCACCAACCCAGCTCCTCGGGGAATGGAGGCTCTGAGAGCTCGGGAGGGGGCTGGCCCTCCCGGTCACTCTGCCCAGGCCCACAGTGACCCAGTGTGGCCCTTACCACAGTGACCAGGGAGGGACTTCGGTTCCATCCAACAAAACTCAACAGCTATGAGTATGTAGGAGCATACGTAAGCATGCGGGGCGCATGCATGTGTGCCGGGGCACGTGTGTTGTGTGTGTACATGTATGACAGTGGCGTGTGTTGTGTGCTGTGTTGCGTTGCTGTGTTCATGTTTGTGCATGCACACGTGTGTGTTGTGAAGGTCTATAGGGCTTGGAACAAAGCAGATCCAGGTTCGAGTCCTACCTGGCCACTCGCTGATGACAAAGACCTCTCCAAGGGTCAGCTGCTCGTCTCTAAAATGGGGGAGACCAAGTTGATGAAGGGTCGTGGCAATCATGAAATCCAATCCACGCAAGTATTTATTGAGCACCTACTGCATGCCAGGCACTGCTCTAAGTGCTGGAGACAAAAAGTCAAAATCCCTGCCGGGTGGACCATCACAGTTGTCGGAGTGGGGCAGGGGTGGGACGGGACGGCAGACGAGAGGCCCCCAGGCCAGTGGGTGTAGGGGTGCCCGAGGTTGTGAGCTGCATGGAGACAGCTGGTTGGGGGGGTGCTTTATCTGGCAGATGCCAGAACAAGGAAAGGCTAAAATCTGAGCAAATACCCACAGAGGCGGGTGAGTGCTGGAGGGTGGGGGTCTGGGGAGGCCCAGCAGGTGAAGAGCTGGTCAGCACGCGGCGGCGGGAGGCAGCTGGCCTCTTCGAGGACTTGGACTTTTTCCTCTTTGAACTTGAGCCACCTGATGCCCAGCACCCTGGGAAGAAACGGTAGCTCGCTTCTCCAGGCCTTGCGGCGGGAGCATGTCAGAGCTCAGAATTTTTCAGATTTTAGAGGGTAACATCGTATGTGCTGTGTGCAATTAGAGCCAGCCAGCCTGGGAGGGTAACACCACCTCATCAAGTCCATCCGCATCTCTGCAGTGAAAGAGACAATTCCTGCCCTACCAGGGTCCCTGGAAGCTACAAACAGCCTCCCACCAAATGCGTTAGAAAAGACTTTGCTTTTGGAATTGGAAATGCAGACAAGGGAGCGTGGCCCCGATTCACCGCCTCTGTCACTGTGCCCACTACCAGCGCCCTCATCCTTATGTGCCCCGGGGCTGGCTCTTACCTTCTCACAGGGACTCCACACTCTCTCCGAGGCTCCTCTGCCCGCCATCACCTCTCCATGCTCTTGGCACAGGTCTTGGCTGAGCAAGAGCAGAGACCCGAAAGTGCTGGGCCTCCCACCCGCTCCTTTCCGCGGGCCACTCCTGGCAAAAGTCCGGGGTGATTCTCTGCAACTTTGCACTTAAAAAGGGTCCTGATCATAAGCCGCCTCATCCGGGCTCCCCTGCCCCAAGCAGAATCGCAGCACTTTGTTTCCCTGAAGCTCTGATACAGCTTCCGTCAGACAAGTCTCTGCTGATTTGTGTTGTTGCCAGTAAGAGGGATTTCTGGCCTCCAGGTCAAACTCTCATCAGAGGATGAAAGGAAGGAAAAGCCAGAAAGCCCCTGAGGCTGTCGGGCATGTCACGTTGGAGGTGAATTGATGGCTGTGGCTGCCGCACATCAGGCCCCACGGCACACCAAGCGCCTGCTGGCTTCACTACCCGGCAAGCAGGGTGAACACGGGCCCCCTCATGGAGGGAAGAACGAGGTCTTTATGAAACCAACTGGGGTCTGCTGGGGGAGGAGTCCCATAAACGCCTCAGCATCCTTGGGGGTCCCGATGCCAGAGGACCCTCAGCAGACCATGCCCTGGCCTCAGTTTCCCAGCCTAGGGGCTACAATGAGATGCTCATGGGTTCAGGCAGGGCCTATGAATGAGCAGGAGGGGCCTGGCCTGGGCTATTTCTGACCCTGGGGAGCGCTGTGAAGCTGACCGCACACAGAGCCGTAAGTGTTCACCTGCTGTCCTGAAGCCAGAAGATACTGTGAGTTTCTGGCAGATGCTCTCCATGCAAATTCTGCCCTGAGCCAACAGGAGGCTATTAAAAATCTTGATGCTTTCCCACGTAGGAAAATGCCCATGGGTCTGCAGAAACCATCAAGGATTTGAAGCTGGGGCTCGCCAGAGGCAGGGGCCCTGGGATGCCGGTAACCCAATCCGGACAGGCTCCCCATGACATGGCTTGCCATGGCCAGGGCGTCCTACTTTTAAAAAAACATCTAGATCTTTTGATTTTTTTTTTTCAAAAAGCAAAGTAAAGCAAAGAAACTTATTTTAAAAGGGGTGGGGGGACTCAAAAAATATCTCAAGCACTGTGCAGACCCAACAGAACTCACCCGTGGCCTGATGCAGGCTCTGGGGCTGTTTCGCAGGGAGCCAGCATGAGAATCATCCAGAATGATGGGGGGCCAGCGGAGTAGGTATAGGGGATGAAGGTACCGTGCCTTCAGGATTCACCCTCACTGAGACCTCACCAGGGCAGGTAGGGTCAAAAGCCCAGGCATTTCTCAGTCTAAGCCCTAAATTGTGGGGGCTGCACAAGGGTTGGCAGGGGAAGGAAGGAAGAACATTCTCCTTCCCAGCTCCAGCCTCAGGAGCAGTTGTGGGTGCAGACGTGGAAATGGCAAATGCTTCCGCGCCTCATCCCGTGGTCTAAAGGATCTCAAGGTTTCTGTTTGCAGATTCTGCAGCAGGAAAGCCTTGGGCTCCAGCCGCTGGCAGGGGCTGAGAAAACTGTAAGCCCAGGGGGGTCACGAGAACCTGAGCCCAGTTTGCCAGGTTCAGGAGAAGGAGGATGTTGGGCTGGCGCCTTTGAGAAGCAGCAAAAAGAATGAAAATAAGTTGCAGAGGATCCAAAGCTGACTGCATCCCTAGACGAACAGAGAGGCTAAGTCCCCGGGTCAGGATGCCGCACCGTCCACCTCCACCCACACCCTGCCCTCCCCTGATCAGGAGCCAAAGATCAGAGATCGCAGAAGGAGCTGAGGGCTTGTGGAGTCTACATAAAAAACCAAGCCCAGAGAGGTTGAGTGACTTGCCAAGGACACACAGCAAGTTCGAGGAGGTCTTCCTGCAGCACGTGTCACTGCTCACAGGCATTCCCTCCCATCAGGCCTGCCCGCAGGAAGAGCAGGAGGCAGCCATCGCTGCCTGCCCTCTGCCCGGAGGGACGGCAGCCTGGCCCGCGGCCAAAGTGCAGACTGTGCCAGATGGCTTGATTTAGAGTCCGGCCCAGCACGCACCAGTTGCTCGGGCAAGTTATTTATTCTCTTTCCATTCTCTTGTCTGTGAAATGGAGATCAAAATAATAAGTACCTACTTTACAGAGCTGTGGTGAGGTTTGAGAGCGTTAATTCATAAAAATGCCTGGGAAAACACCAGGTCGTGTCTCTTACATGTGGAATATAAAGAAGCAAAACAAAGGGACAGATGAAAGCAAACCCTAGAACTCTGACTGCAGAATTGAGGCCACCAGAGCGGGAGGGGGCAGGGCAGAGTGGGGAGGGGGCACAATGGACTGTGGTGGAGGACTGTGGGTGCCTGGTGGTGGGTGTGTTGTGGTGACATACACCTGAGGGGTGTGAATCTATACCTCTAAGTCACATACAGCATTGTAAACCAATGGTGCATCCATTAGAAAACCTTAAAATAGCAAAGGAGAATAAAATCAACAATAGTATTAAAAAATGATGATAATGCTCGGGATGGTGGTGGTGCTGGTGATGGTGGTGCTGGTGATGGTCATGGTGATGGTGATGGTCATGGTGCTGGTGATGGTGATGCTGGTGATGGTGGTGCTGGTGATGGTGGTGCTAGTGATGATCATGGTGCTGGTGATGGTCATGGTGCTGGTGATGGTCATTGTGTGGTGATGGTGGTGCTGGTGATGGTGGTGATGGTGATGGTGGTGATGGTGGTTAGTGGTGGAGATGGTGGTTGGTCATGGTGCTGGTGATGGTCATGGTGCTGGTGATGGTCATGGTGCTGGTGATGGTGGTGCTGGTGATGATGGTGGTGGTGATGGTCGCGGTGGTGGAGATGGTGGAGGTGGTGGTGATGTCCTCCTGAGGTGCCCTGTCCACTACAAGAGATCAGATGATTGAGCTGGTTGACACGCTTCTCCCCTCACGCCCTCCAGACCACTGCTCTGGATGGACACTCCCCGTCTGTGAGAAATTCTCTGCCCTTCGGAGGCCCGTCACCCCAGGGCGACGGTGACAGACTCTAGTCAAGATGGAGGAAGTCATCTTTTCTTCTTCAAAGAGTCTGGTCACAGGAAGGGTGTTGGTGGGGGCACATCCCCTTAAAATTTCACCAGCAGCTTCAGAACACTTGGGCAAGAATAGGCTTTTAAAAATACACCTATTTTTTTTTTTTTTAACACCCAGCAACCATTTCCCAAAAGCTACTTCAACACAGCCACGTACTGTGTTGCGTGCGCTGACCTGACCCGACACCGCAGCTGCCCCCGGCTCCCGGCTGAGCAGCCGCTGGGGAGTGAGACCCGGGCCAGCTCACAGCTGCTCCCGGACACTCAGAACTGGGGGCAGCCAGGGCCCAGCACCAGCGGGCCACCCACCCTGTCCCCACCCACAGAGGAGCTGGCTACCGGTCACTCTGCAGGGAGCCCCCCACTTTCTAAGCCGCCATCCCACATTTCTACTGGATGGCCAGAGGGAGGGCCAGGTCCCTAGGGACCCAAGTCCCCCAGGGCTGTGGTCCCTGCTCCCGCACCAGCTGTGGCACCACCTTGGGCAAGTCCCTTTGCATCAAAGTCTCTCTGAGCTCTGGTTTCCTCTGCTGGAAACTGGGAGCTGTTACAATAAATTGCTCTCCTTCTTCCTCTGATGGAAAGCAACACACAGGCTATTTTGCATTGCAACCCAATCCTTAGCCACACGACGTCGTGTGCATTGGACAGCCTCTGTTCTAGTCCATTCCATTAAAAATTACTATTGGTGGTAGCATGTCCGCGAAAGGATAGCATGAGGGAATCCGGGGGCAGGACGGCAGTGCCGTCGACGCCGTGATGGTGCTGGCGACCACGGATCTGTCTATGATACGGAAAATTCATTTTACTATACGTTCATTTAAAAAGTAAAGTTTTTTTAAAGAGAACAAAAATGATGGTCGCAACCCCCGCAACTCATTCCACGCCCACCCAGGGCTTAGGACCGTGGCCCGGCCCTGGGAGCAACCCAGGCGGTGTAGCATGAAAACCCTGCCCGGAGCCCCAGCGGTGGGGGGACAGGACCGTCACCAGGCCTCGGGCGGGCGAGCGCGATGGGGGAGCAGCGGGAGGCTCACCTGACACCTCTCTCCTTTCTCCAGCCACGTCCTGCCGACTGGGAGAGCTCAAGGGGAGCGATGATGCAGGTAAGGAGAAAATGCAGGAGGCCTGCGAGGGGGCAAGAAGCCGGGGAGGGAGCAAGACAGATCCCTCAGGCTGTCGCCACCCCACGCACAGAAAGCAGGCTGCCCAGAAACGCGCCTTGCCACGTCCCTGCCGAGTTCTCAGCAAAGACGCTTGCAGCTCAGTTCCCGACGGAACGTGAAGCCTAGAGACTGCCGCTTCCCGAGCAGGGTTCCACGGAACATGTCGGACAAAGGGTGGGCACTGGCACATCACCCGCTGAGTGACGGTGCGCGCGGCCTAGCGGAGGCTCTGAGAAGTCCTGCGGGGGAGAAGCCTGCGACATCTTTAAGCTCAGCTGTTCCAAACCCATTTCACCACAGAGCACTTGTTGTCACGTTTCCCGAGGTAGCACCATGTTGAATGCATTTAGGGGACCATGGGGCTGGAGCTTCTCAGGAAGCCACCCTGCACCGAGAAAGGGCCGGCGGGACTTTGCTGGGCCCTGGGCCAGAACCCGGAACCCCACAATAGTGTCCTAGCTCCTAGCTCTAGCAAGTTCCTTGTTGTCTGAGCCCCACCAGTTCCCCGACTGTAAAATGGGGAGGGCTGAATCCTTCCTCGCGAGGCTTCCACCAGTCTGCTCGCTGGAGGGAAGGGCAGTGCCAGGGTTGGGGCGAGGGTCTCTGACGAGCCATGTGTCCTTGGCTCGGGCTCTGGGCCCCAGGCGTCTCATCTGTGGGAAGAGAACGTCAGTCTGCCTGGTAGTCCCCAAGCAGGGTTGGCCTCCGCCTCAGAGCCACTTGGAAGAGGCTTTTACATTTTTGAAAAATTCCTTGACTGGCTCAAAACCTTACAAATATGAAAAGACCTAAGTAAAGAATCTTATTTCCATTTCCGCCCCCCATCCGCCCAGTTCTTCCCCACCCTGACACCCCACACAATAACCGCATATATTCGTGTTTTGCATGTCCTTCCAGAATCCCTTCACGCAAATACAAATATATACGGTTCTTTTTTCCTTCGTGGAACTTTAGAAAATCACATTAGCTCTGCTCCTCGCTATGATCCAGCAGCTCCACTCCTAGGTATTTACCCAAGAGAAGAGCGTCACGTCCCCCACACAAAGGCAAAGGACAGGAATGTTCCTAGCAGCTCTATTCACAGTAACCCAAACCTGGGGGCGCCCAAGTGGTGGACAATGCCGGGACAGCCAGACAATGGCATGTTATCTGCAGTCAGAAGGAGTGACCAGGACGCAGGCAGCGACACAGAGAAAACTCCACCCCTGCTGAGCCAAAGCAGTCAGGCGGGAACGCAAACAAATGAGACTGTGTTCTCAGGGCCACGTCTGTGACATCTGCCCACAATCAGGACCCGCGTCTAATGACAGAAAACAGGCCTGTGACTGCCTGGGGCTGGATTCAGGGCAATGGAGGGAAGTTTCCAGGTGATGGAAATGTCCTTTGTGCTGAGTGTGGCGCTGCTCACAGGTGTGTGTGAATTTGTCCAAATCTATTGGACAAATACCCTTGAAGTGAGAACATTTCACCACATGCAAATTAGACCATCGTATTGATTTTACAAGTTGGGGTGGGGGTGTCGCAGGCTGTCTCAGATCTATTGGAACAGAATTTCCTGGGGTGGGTGAGTCTGCTGAGCAGCGGCTGCCGAGAACCTGCGTCCACCGCTCCACGGTTCCCACTGAGGTCTCGAGCCTCATCCGCCCGGGCTTTGGGGACCACCTGGGTCAGGTGCAGCCCCAGCCTGGGTTTCTGAGAAGTTCCTGCAGAAATTCTCATGGGGCAAGGCGGGTAGACTGGGGCAAAAGGGAGCTTTGCTGGAGGGGGGGTGCAGGGAGGGGCCCCCTGGAGGGCCCTTCCCTGCCTGAACCACACACACCTCTTTGATCCACAGTTGGCCTGGTGGAGCTAAATGCCTCCAACTCGAGGTGCCAGGGCCAGGTGAAAGTGCCCTACGACGGCGAGCAGCGCACAGTGAGCAGCCGGAGCTGGCGCCTGAGCCGGGGCCAGAACCGGGATGACTGGGAGAAGTGGGCCTCGGAGCAATGCCAGAGTCTGCAGTGTGGAGATGCCGTGGCCCTTGGCTACTTGCCTATCTTCAACCATCTCCAGAGCCATCCCCAGATCTTCTGCCGAGGACAAGTGGGGTCTCTCTCCAACTGCACTGAGGAGACAGGCCCGCAGGACTCTCTGAGCCTGATCTGCTTAGGTGGGTAACTAGTCGGCCACATGGAGGCCCCTGACCTGGCACCACCCTGAGGAGGCCACCCAGGAACTGGGATGTGGGGCCTGAGCAGGCATGTGGGAGGGGGTCCCTGATTTACAATCACACCCCCCAGAAATATAGCCCAGGGGTGCTGGCCTCTGCCTGCTGGGATGGAAAAGATCAAGTTGGCTCCTTATTCCTTCAGAGCCTGTTTTCCCAACTGTAAAAATGAGCTGGTACTGCCCACCCCCAGGGGCTCAGAGACAGTGTGTGGGTGAGCCGGGCTTCCTGGGGAGCGGGGGCCACATGGTGATCCAGGTCTTTCTCAACACTGCCGGCTGCCCCAGCCCTCCCTGGGCACCCCCCGCGCCCGCCCACCCAGGTCCCCTGCCCTTCCTCACCAGGAGTCTCATTTCAGAGCCGAAGACGACACCTCCTCCCACGAGCCCCCCGCCCACAGCCCCTCCGGCGCCCACAGGTAAGAGGGTTCTCAGCCCCTGGATCCTGGTGTTTTAGCCAACGGCTTGTTTAGCAAAATGTTGGTGATTTAGCAAATAAAGCACAGGAAGCCCAGTTACGCTGCACTCAAACACGAGTGTCAGCGCGTCCCAGACGGTACCTGGGGCCTCACAGGCCCCCAAAGCCCCCGCCTGCCATTCGCGTAATGTCTGTGTGTGGGAACCACAAGGCTCCGAGTAAGGTGGGCCCCCGCGCGGCCATCCCTGTCTCCCCTCCCTCTAGCTCCTCCCGTGCTGCAGCTGGTGCCAGGGCCCTGGGGCCTGCGGTGTGCCGGCGCGGTGGAGTTCTACAACGGCAGCCTGGCTGGCTTGGTGAGCTCTGAGGACCGGGGCAGGATCCAGGGCCTGGAGGACCGCATCTGTGCACAAGTCCAGTGTGGCTCCTTCGTGGAGCACCTCCCAGAGCCCGAGGCGCCGTGGGGACCTCACCCAGGGGCTAGCGGCTCCTTGCCCATTCGGTGGAAGGTCGAGAACACCAGCTGTGGCCTGCTGGAGCCGTGCTTCTGGAAGGACCAGCACCGGGACGGCGGCCAGGCGCTCGCCCTCGTCTGCTCTGGTGAGTGAGAGCCGGCCAGCACCCGGGACTTTTCCAGATGAGCCGTCAACTCGTGCTCCCCAGGGTGCCGGCGCTGTGCAGAGCGCAGGGTGGTGGACAGCTGACCGCTGGCCTCAAACACAGGGCTGACCAGGCCCAGCAAGGCTGTTCTCATACCCAGCAAGAGCCGTGGCGATCTCTGCAGAGGGACACCCCAAACCCAAACATACTGCTGGCTTGGCAGCCATGGGGGGGGTAGGACCCCAGGACTTCCAGGGAGGCAAGGTCTCCTCCTGGGTTTGGTGAAGAGGAGGAGGTGGGGAGTCATGGCTTGGGCCAAGGGCATTTTTACAAGGTGGGTGCTATTAGTATCCCCCACTTTATAGAGAAGAAGCTGAGGCTCAGAGAGCTCAAATTTCTTGCCCAGGACCACACAGCCCTCGCTGGATGTCCACTCAAGCAGTGTCACTCCCAGAGGCTACTGTCTACACAGGGGCTACTCGAAGTGTGTCCTGGGTCAGTCTGGGGCAGGGGTCTGGCTAGACACGAGATGCTCGGCCACAGCTGACCCGGTGAATCAAGATCTGCATTTCAGCAAGGTCCCAGGGATCCTCGAAATCCCTGGAATCCAAGACGCCCTGCTCAGGACCCCGGCTTATCTTGCAAGCAGGCCCCCACCCCCACCCCTTGGCTGGGTGTGAGCTAGTACCCTGCTGCCCGCTCCAGGCAGAAGCGACCCCAAGCCCTCTGGCCTGTGGAGGGAAAGTGAGTTGACTCCCAACCCACTCAGCCCTGGGCCAGGGGCCCCGCAGGTCGCTGCCTGCAGAGCCATAGGCTATTTTTTCTAAACAGAAGAATCACTAGGGCTTGTCCTGGTGAACCTCCACAGAGGTTCTCTAACCTACGCAGTGCGTGTCCCCCGGTGGACACCAGGCCCGCCCTGACAAGCAGCAGTGAATTCTGTCTCCGCTGACTAGGTCTCCCAGCACACAGGGCCTGGGCAGCAGCGTTCCTGCCCTGAACCCCCACCTGGACCCCAGGGCTCAGGGCAGGAGGTAGTTCCCATCCCTGGCCTCAGTTTCCCCTTTCGGATGAGCCTTACCCCTCCCAAGGAGCAGCCAGGAAATGAGCAGGTGTTTCTGCAAGGGAAGTGGCCCAGGTGGGAGCTGTTTCCTGTTGCTCATCTCTGGCCTCCACCTGGGAGGAGGCCACTTCCTGGGGGTGGCATCACCACCACTGAGGGGCCCACGCAGCTCAGAGGCACCAGGACACCCTGTCTTTGGATGAGAGGATGCCAGCGGGAGCGGAGGGTGGAAGGGAAGGTGGTCCCACATGGTGCCGAATGTCCCCTGACCTGCACCCCTGCGCCAGGCCAGCGGCACGGGGCCCAGTGGCAGGCTTGCTGCCTCCAAGCCCGCCCCTCACCTCCCACCGCTTCCCTTCACAGGTTTCCAGCCCAAGGTGCAGAGCCGCCTGGTGGGGGGCAGCGGCCCGTGTGCTGGCTCTGTGGAGGTTCGCCTGGCCAAGCAGTGGTTGCCCCTGTGCCACAAGACCCCGGTCAAGAGCAGAGCGAGGTGGGAGGAGGTGTGCCAGGAGCACCAGTGTGGCCAGTTCATCTCCCACCAGGTGCTGGACCCCCGCGCGACCTCCAAGGGGCTCAGCTGTTCCCAGGAGAATCTGTCCCAGTGCCACCAGCTTCAGGAGAAAACCTGCCAGAGGGTATTTATCACATGTGAGTTGGCCACAGCCGCCGTGGGTGGGGGCGGGTCTGCGCTCAACCTCCAGGGCCCAGTCTGAGCGCATGTCTGACAAGTAGGCCCAGGAGCTAGACAGGCGCCCCGGAGCACAGAAGGCACATGGCAGGGAGGGGGGACCAGACTCGGACAGCAGTGCGCGTGAACCCTAACATGCAGAGTGGCGATCGTGTCGGCAGCCAATGAGTGGCTGACTCTTCATTCTACCATCCGCTCTTCCAGAATGGCAGACAGACAAGCAAGGGCTAGATGGCACATGTTTGTTACACTAATGGCAACTGAGTAATGAACACGAGAGAGAAATGGATGGATGGCTGGCGGATGGATGGCGGATGGTGGATATGGATGGATGATGGATGTGGATGGCTGGTGGCTGGTGGCTGGCTGCTGGACGGGTGGGGGATGGTGGCTGGTGGCTGGACGGGTGGGGGATGGTGGCTGGTGGCTGGCGGCTGGACGGGTGGTGGCTGGTGGCTGGTGGCTGGACGGGTGGGGGATGGTGGCTGGCTGCTGGACGGGTGGGGGATGGTGGCTGGTGGCTGGCGGCTGGACGGGTGGTGGCTGGTGGCTGGACGGGTGGGGGGTGGTGGTGGTGGGCTGGGCGGCTGGACGGGTGGGTGCATAGAAGGATGGAAGTTCTATGATCACATAGTGGTGTCTGATGGCAAGGTGATTACTGATAAGCAACAGAAATGGTAGAAAGTTAAATAGTTGGTAACAAGAGTGGCGAGCGATAGTGGCAGGGTCACTTGTCAGATGAGAAACGGAGGATGGAGGAAGGGAGAGCAGAGAATTCAGAAATGGGCGGAGAGACAGCCTTTCGCACATGCTGGTGAGATCCCTGGGAAAAGCAGCCGGTCGGTCAGTCACGTCCCTCTGAATGGACAGTCTCGATGCCCCTGGGCCGGCACGGAGTTAACTCCTCTGCCTCCCCCAGGCCAGGACCCCAACCCACCGGGCCTGGGCACCGGCTCCGTGATGAGCATCCTCCTGGCGCTGGTGCTCCTGGCAGTGCTGCTGGTCGTGTGCGGCCCTCTCGTCTACAAGAAACTGGTGAAGAAATGTAGGTGCAAGAGGCCCAAAGCACCTGCCTTTCGAGCCCCATGGGGGGGATCGAGGGGTTACACTCAAGCCCCACGGGGGAGGGTCCCACCCAAGATAGACGCTTGAGGTCATCTCTGCTTCCACACCCAGCCAGTCCCCTCTGCCGCCCACTGGCCTTTTTCTGCTAAGGTAGAGGAAACAGAAAGCCGGGACATGGTGGCAGCTGATTCGCCCACCTCTGGGCTGGGAATCCTGGGGCGTCAGCTGGGCCTCTGACCTCAGGAGGCCGCAGGCCAGGCCCACTCCAGCCCTCAGCAGCCGCAGGTGCTGCAGACAAGCCGCTGCCTCCCTGAGCCTCAGTTTCCTCCTTATCCTCGCAGACGCAGAGGAAAGGGCCTGAGTTAAGGAAGTGAGAGTCAAGGAGTTGGGAGGAGAGGCGAGGGGAGCTGCAGGCGGGCAGGGTCCCTGCGCCCTCCGGGTCTCAACCCCGCCTCTAAGCACCGGTCCCAGGTCTCCTCCGACACTTGACCTGCTCCTGTAGCTCCCCCTGGGACAGGCCCCCTCTGAACCAGTCAGAAAGCCCAGACCTCAAAGGCTGCAGGGGGCAGAACTTCTGCCGCTGCCCCACACCTTGGCCCCTCCCTGGCTGCCCCTGCCCTCCGGCTCCTCAGCGCCCCCCGCCCCGCTCTGAGCCCCTCTCCTGTCTGCTGCCTAGTTCAACAGAAGAAGCAGCGCCAGTGGATCGGCCCCACAGAAATGAGCCAGAACAGTAAGTGTCGGCAGGCAGGTCCTCCCTCACCCGCGCCAGTGTCCTGGGCCGCGGGAGGAGGCTGTGAGCACGCGGGGGGCGGGGGGAGCTCACGGTGACCACAGACAGAGCCAGCGGCCGCACGTCGAAGGGGTCACTGTGGAACCGAAGGGGCCCCACTGTCGTATTTGGAAATCAGGCTGCGTCTCTGCTCCAGGACTTGGCAGAAGCTTAACGGGCTTCGTTGCCTTGTTCATCTCCAAAGCGGGACATGCTCGGGCCTGTCCCACGGCGAGAGCCTGGAGTCCGTCACGGGCGCGCCCAAAGGCCAGGTTTAGAACAGGCCGATGCAGCCCCGGGTCTCCGCGCATGGCCAGGCCACTCTCTGGATGGAGCCGCAGCTCTCCTGCCTCCCACTCCAATTCTTCCTCCCTGTACAGATCAAGGGCCAAATCCTTCAAGAAGGTTCCGTATTCAAATCTTTTTACCACACATAGGCCCTCAGTTCCAGATCGGCCCTTTCACGTGTTCTAATGCCCAGCTTAGCGCTTGATGACTGACTAACTGATGGTCGGAGGGCCCACTCCACACGTCAGGTGGCTGATCGACCCCCAGCTGCTCCAAAGCCTGGCCCCTGCTCGTACGAACCTCCCCAAGAGGAGAGGGGAAAGGGGCTGCCTGAGGAGCTGCAGGGGCTGGGGCTCCCGCCACCAATTCCACGAGGGGACCAGGACACGGACTTCCGGGCCCCGCTGGGCAGGGGGAGGTGGACCGAGCAGCGAGTCTAACCGTCTCCTGCCTCTGCTCAGTGTCTTTCCACCGCAACCACATGGCCACCGTCCGCCGGTCCCAGGCGGAGAACCCCACGGCCTCCCACGTGGAGAACGAATACAGCCAGCCCCCCAGGAACTCCCGCGCCTCGGCCTACCCAGGTGAGCCCCGGCCGGGCAGCGACCGTCCAGAGAGGGCAGCGGGGCCCCGGGAGGGGGGTCTGCCTGTCCTCTCGACAGCCGGCCTTGGCAGGGCGTGGAAGGAGTCAGCCCAGCCCGCCGCGCCTGCCTGCAGAGAGCCGCGCTGGGCAGCCGTCCGCGCAGGCCTGTTTCTCGCGGGGCCTCACGGCCCCTGGTAAACGAGGCCCTCGGGGCAGAACAGAGCCCTGCGGGGCGGCCCCTGACTGGCCCCAACAAGTCAGTCCCAGGGAGCGTGGAGGGCGGCACCATTAGCGAGCCCGGGCCCAAATGACCAAAGCAGCCCCGGGCGCGCAGCCGCCAGCCCAGGGCCCGGGGATCTGCCGCCCGCGGGCCTCGCGGCGCTGGTGGGGAGCCCCGCCACAGATGGCAGCCTTTCTCCCCTCCCCGCAGCCTTGGAGGGCGCCCCGCATCGGGTCTCCACCCCGCTGGATAACTCCTCCGACAGCGACTACGATCTGCACATGACGCTGAGGCTGTAGAAGGTGGGTGTGTCCCCCCCACCCCACCCCGGGCACCCCGGACCCCAGGATCCCTGGGAATAAGCACCAGCCCCTCGGCCCCGGCCCCCGCCACCCTGCCCTTCCCTTGCGCCGGGGGCTCTGAGCTTCAAGCTCCTGAAAGCGAAAGAATAAGCAGCAGCGATTTCGGGGGCGGGAGCTGACTGGCGAGTAGCACAAGAGGGGCCCCCTCCGCGCTGCCTGGTGACACCGTCCCCACGACCCCAAGGCCCCAAGAGAATCCTGAGGGGCCGCACCTCAGGGGACTTGGGGGTTTGGGGCTGCCCCACCTCCCAGCCACCTCCAGGGTGCGAGGTTTCCTCCTCCTCACCCCACAGAACTGGGAACAGGAACGAAACACCCAAGGGCCCCACCTTTGGTCCCAGCACGCGGCCCTCCACGCTGGAAACGGGGTCTCGGTTTCCCACCCGGCGGGGCAGAGGTGAGGCGGCCCTTCCAAGTGCCCCTCTGCCCTGCGAGCTGCTCTGCCCCGCCCCGCCAAGCCCAGCCCAGTGAAGACCCAGCCACCCTCCCGGCTGGCCCCGGCTCCCGTGGGCGCCAAGAAAGAAAAGGCTGAACCCGGACCTAATGAGCGCTCCAAGCAGACACACGTGGCCGCTGGAGCACCCAACCCGTGCATGGGGAGCACGGCCCCAAGGCACCCGCTCTCGGGACACTGTGACCCCAGTGGGGCGGACACGAGGCTCGCGCTGGGGCAGGGGCGTTTCTCCAGTGTGTGTCTAACATGGTCTTGTCAATAAGCTTCGTTCACCCCCGGGACTCGAGCGCTCCTCCGTGCAGCTCCACCCGTGATCCCTCTGGGGAGCAGGAGGGAAAGATACCGGGGCACCTGCAGCCTGGAGGTCACAGCAGCTGCCAGCAAGGCCTCGTGGCCCCCCGACCCAGTGTCCCCCCACCCCTCCGCGGCTCCCCCACTGCTTCAGTCTCTGACAGAGAGCAGGGTCCCTGCTGTCCAGACCAAAGGGCACCAGTGCTCCCTCAGGGCCCTGCACAAAGGGGTCCCCAGAAATCCTACCCTGGAGGCTGTTTCCACAACAGTCAGCAGCCCAGAGCTAGAGCGCTTTCTGCCCATGACAGTTAAGAGGCAGAGAAACGCTGCTGGACCCTGGGGGTGCAAACCCTCTCCACCACAGTCAGGCCCTCCCGTCATCGGGGCCTGCGAGGTTTCCTTACCTGCAAGCTAGGCATAGGGGTCTCGCAAGGGGAGAGACCGCAGGGCCTCGCCCAGCCCCTGGCCCACCCATCTGGCCCTGTGCCCGCAGGGAGAACAGATGTCGAGGGTCCAAGCCCAGAAGCCAACTCTGGAAAAGCAACTGGGAGTTAGGTGGGCATGGGGAGGGGTGCTCCCAGTCAATGAAGCGGGGGAGGGGGCGCTGGCACCCCAGAAGGCCCTGGGTGACACTGGGCCCCCCCAACACTCTTCACCCAGGCCCCGCCCTGCCCTGCTCACGACTCAGCTCCACGAGAGCCCGGGGTTGACCTACTGGGAACCCCAAGGTGGGACCCCCAGTCATGGCCCTGCACTGGACAGCACTCAGGGCGCCTCTCTGGCACCTGGGAGGCAACCCTGAGAGGCAGACCAAGGACGGGAGGCACCGGGGCCCTACCAGCCTTTCCACATCGGTGCCCCTTTTGTGCCCCAGTGGCCTCAAAGCCACCATGGCCTACTTGGAAAACAAACCTCCCCCAAAAGTTGCACTAAAGCAAAACATCTCTAGAAAGCGGTTTTCCCAGTGGTGGGCAATGCAGTCCTGAAAGAGCCCTCCAGGAAGCGACCCAACGGCAGCATCCTTGACCACCCAGGAGCCTGCCCAGGGGTGGCCCTGGCAGAGGCACAGCCCCCAGGCCTGGGTCGGGGCTGTTTCCCTGGCGAGCAGCCCTCTCTGCCCTGCCTCCCCGGGCTGGAGAGGATGCCCAGGGTGACCTGGACCACCTCACGCCCACTTCCTGCCTGCAGCAACCAGCCAGCCAGAGCGAAGAGTGGCCCCACATTCCTGAGCAGGTTACTCACCTGACCCCCAGAGGCATTTCAGTGTGCCACCTGGTTCTAGCACATTCCATGTCAAGTCAAGGAAACCAAGGACCCCAGGGGAACACTCAGACTGCAGAGGATCTGGGAGAATCGAACAGACGAACATGTCGGCCAAAGGGATGCCTGAAATGGCCTCACCCCCACCGGCACAGCCAGTGACCTTCTCACCAGAGGGGGAGTCTCTGAGGCTCAAATTTGACCTTAGGGTGTCCCCACATCCACTGTGGACTTGGGGAGGGGGCCCAAGGGAGTCCGTGGTTTCTGTGCAGGGCGGAAAAGGGTCTGGGGAGGAAGGCAGAGAGCCGTGCTGAGCAACCAGCCGAAGCAGCCCCCAACCAGCCCCCTCTAAAAGTGGCACCCCCTCGCTTTAGCCCAGGCACCCCCACCACCACCCAGCACCAACCCAAGCCTGTGACTTGATTAGTCTCTTGAACGAGGTGTCAGCTTCTTTCTACACCACCATGTGGTCCAACATGCCCTGCAGCCCGTTCCTCAGACCCGACCAGAGGTCAGAGGGGGCAGAGGGCAGCACGCACGTGACCGGAGCCCCGCCAAGGTTGTCCAGGCTTTCCCAGGGGCTGCTACCTCTCAGTCCCAGGAGCCAGAGCAGCATGGACAGGCAGGTGGTGAGCCTCCCACCTGCCTCCAGGCTGTGTGCTCAGCCTGGCCCCACCCCTGCAATCTCCTCCCTCTAGTTAAAGTTGGGGGGCCAAGGGCTGTTAAGAGAACCCAAGAGACAACCACCATGGAAAGTCTAACAGGAGGGGCAGCAGCTCCTGGATTCGTCCTCGCATGTGTCCCCTCGCAGGGAACAGCAGGAGGCCGCCTGGTCTCCTGACTCCCCTGACCTGCCCTTCCTGCCGCGAGCAGAGGACGCCCTCCCAGGCCTGAGATAAGCCGAGTGCAGGGCAGCTAGGGAGGGGCAGGCTGGGCAAAGGCAGGAGCCGGCTAGTTGAGGGGCTTGACGGCCGCCGCCCCTTAGCAGAGGCGGGACGCGAAGCCTGGCGAGCTGCCGGTCCTGGCTAGCCCAGCGGGGGGCAGGAACGTGGCAGGCTGAGCTGGATTGGGGCCGACCGCCCCTCGTGGGCCCCTGAGGCATGGCGGGGCCCCAGCTCACTGCCAGGCCCAGCCCGAGTGAGGCTCCAGCAAGCAAACAGCTAAGGGGGAAACCCCGAGGAGAGGGAAGGGAATACGGACAGAGCCAGGCCTGGGGCACAGGCCAGCGGGGCACCCTGCGCGGGAGTGACGCCTGGATGAGGGGGCTTCGTGGACGGGACTCAGCGGGGCCTCTCAGCAGAACGTGACCCCAAGGACGGGGAAATCCATGTCCCGCCAAGCTGCCACACCTTCACCTCCCAACCCCAGAAGGCCGGCACTGCTGGACTCATCCACGTTTATTATGGCAATTGATTACACAGACACACGGGCGATCGCTCATGTGGTTCCGAAGCGCTCGAACCGGTGGAGTCCATGAGTGACGTCTCTTCATAAATACCAGGAGACGCGAGCACAGTGGGAAGGAGCCGCCGGTGCCGGCCGAGCACCATGCTGCGCGCACACCACGCGCGCGGGCCCGGAGCCGGCAGGCACCAGAAGGTCAAGTTTCCTTGTGGGCCCCAGCTCCTCGGCCGCCAGATGCTAAGCCCTCGAGGAGCGGACATTGCAAGGCACATGTGACATCCTCACCCCCAGCAGCTCGAGTCCGCCCTGGAGACCCGGCTCTTGCCGGAGCCGCCAAGTTAATGCTTCATTCTTTACCCCCTTGGGCCTGTGAGGCCACTGCTTATTGCTGAGCACGCTCTAAATCCCCGGCGTGCTGGAGGCCACAGTGACACGGAGTCACAGTCCCTGCCCTTGACATGCTGAAGACAAGAGAAGCAAAGACACGGAGCCCGACACAGCGGTGGTGTTCTAGAAAGCACCACTGGGGAAGCGACTGTTAGGGCTTCTGCTGACATCATCTTTAGCTGGGGAGCGGGTGGGGAGTTATATCCGGGGCTCAGAGGAAGGGGATGAGGGCAGGGCTGCTGCCAATGAGATTCAAGGCACTAGAGGAGTGACTCAGAGGAGTCAGCCAGAAGTGGAGCACCCCGAGGAGGGGGGGAGGCTGTGGGAGGGCAGCCGGCCCTCCACTCCTAAATGAGCTCCCAGGTGGCCAGTTTCCTGGGCCACAGCTACTCGCTCCCAGCCACAGGGCACAAGGGGGTCCCCAAATTCTCCACCAGTGCAAGTCAGGTTGGGGCCCACCCTCACAACCCTGACTTCTCGATGCACAGCACCCGGCCCCCGCGCATCTGACATCAGCCTGTCATATCAGGTATGGCTTTAAGTCACGTGACAGTGCTTGAGCGTCCTGCTGAGCTGCTCTCTCTCCCCGCACCCGGCCCTGGGCGTGGGTGGTGCGGGCATCCTCAGGGGCCACACACACACACACACAGAGCAGCAGCCCTCGGCATGGGCACCACGTCGAGAGGCCAACACCAGGGAAAGGCGGGGGGAGCCAAGGCCAGATGTAGGGAGCCTCATCACCGAGGTGACCCGCATTGGGTTCGGTGCCGCGAGTGTGGGGCACAAGTAGATGATCACAAACACACGCCCGCTCACACACACTCACGGAGAGGTGTGAACTCCCAGTCGGGCTCACGGCGCAGAAGTTAGAGCCAGTCACTGCAAGGAGGCGCCCCCTTCCCCGGGAAGGTCGATGAGTTGTGCCCACTGTCCCCACGGCCCGCAGGGCCCCAGCCAGGTGCCCCAGGTCCCTGCGTGCCCCCACAAGTCCATGAGGAGTGCCAGCTCCACTCCCAGTTTCACCTGGAATCTCAGGAGGGTGGGCCCAAGGCTGAGGGACAGGGGAGGTAGGGAAGGGCCAGGCCAGCCTCTAATACCCAGCCAGGCAGGCCCCTGAGGCTGGGGGAACCCGTAGGGAGGGGTGGGGCGGTGGGATAGGGCGGCCGAGGCAGGCCTGAGGGCTGGGGCGGGCCTGGGAACTGGGGCTGAGTGGGGTACGGTGGCTTGCCTCCCGTCGAGGGGTAGGACGGCTGCTGAGGATAGCCAGCACTGGGGCGCGGCCCCCCGCCAACGGGTACCCTGGGCCAGAAGCACCAGCGGGGGCCATGGGATAGCTGGGCAGGGGCGGCGTGCTCCTCTGCGGGGACCAGGAGTAGCCCCCAGCAGCCCTGGGTGCTGGCTGGGCTGACGGGTAAGCAGGGCCCATGGGCCCGCTGGCGGGGGGCTGGGGTAGGGCTGGGACAGCGCGGGAGGGGAAGGGGGCCGGCGGGAGGGCGCCATGCGCCGTGGGGCCTGCGGGCATGCCGGGAGATGGGCTGTAGGGCAGCGGGTAGGGCAGGCCTGCCGAGGGCGGGGGCGGCAGTGGCTGTTCGCCAGCCACAGGGGCGTCGCCTGGGGGGCCGGGCGAGGCGGGGGAGGTGGGCGAGGAGGAAGAGCATCCCCCGCCAGCTCCGGAGATACTCTGGGCCTCCTCATCACCTCCTGGAGCTTCTCCACACGGACCCGGCGCAGGTGGGACAGCATCCTCATGGAGGAAAAGGTCTCCAGGAACGTTTCCAAGGGCACCTCACCCTCCAGGAACTTCTCAGCCATGGCCTGGAAGACATGAAGGCCCGTGACAACAGGGCCAGGGGCTCGGCTGCTCCCGACCTGCTCTGATCCCCACCGGCGAATGGCTCCCCGAGGCCCTTCTCCCTGCAGACAGACTGGAATGCACTCCTGGGTTCACCCCGATCTGCCTCACCAGAGTCAGCTCCCGGAGGGCAGGGACTGTCTTGTCTAGTCACCGCTGTCCCCACCCTGACCTGGTGCCAGGCCCACAGTGGGCACTGCACACGTGTGTTGAGTGACAGGACAAACACCGGCCACTCGGTCACTCGAGCAGGCTGGCCTGGAGCTGGGAAGACAAGGCAGCCCGGGAGAGGACAGTGGCTGGGGCCAGGCTCCAGTCCTGGGTCTACAGCCACAGCGCCCCCTTCTGGGTCTGCCAGCTGCCGGGGTCTTGTGATCCATGGCCCAATTCAGCGGCAGCTCCTGAGATCCGACTGGGCTCACTCATCCAAAAGGGCTCACTCCTCTCTGCGTCTACTGCAGACACCCGGCGCCCCTCCACGGGCTCCTGCTCAGGAAGAGGGGGTGTCCGCGGCTCTCTCACCTCTGACTCTTCTTCGATCTTCATGCCTTCGATTTGCAGAAGGTCTAGCAAAGTACTTGGCCGCAGTGTTGAAGAAAATTTCTCTGGAAGGGAAGGCAGAAAGGTCGACATCTCAAAAGAGCTCTGGACTCAGGCCTGGCGGCTGAGGTTTCAGCAAAGTCTGTGGCCTGTGTGCACTGAGGCCCTGTCACCGCCCCGGGGTCTGCTGGGCCCCTCCTTTCAGTCCAGTCCCCTTGGGTCTCCTTTCTGAGCAAAGGGCAGCTCAGCGCGGCCCAGCCACTGACTAACCAGCTGCCCAGCAGCAGCCTGGGAAGCAAAAGGACCCGGACTTTGAAATCCACCCCCACCCCAATCCTGCTCTTCTTCCTGGGGGAGGGTGACCAGGCCAGCCCCCACCCCTACCTTCAGCCGCGCCGAGACTGAGCTGGCGAGCTCAGCACAGGACGCAGGCTCGCTGACTCAGAGCCCCACAGCAGCCTTCCCACTGCCTCACGAGCCCCGTGCTTCCCACCCGAGGCGAAGATGACAACCTACCCTTCCTCGGCTGCTGAAAAGCGTATGTAAAGCACTTAGGGGCGGGGACGACCATCAGGGAGCTGGCCCATGGGGAAGGGAGAAGGCACCTACTCTTCCACGCTACTCCACCACTCTCCCGTCCAACCTTGACAGAGACCCTGAATTATTAACAGAGGCGCCCCCCGAGTGCACACGCCGGGGATCTGGCCCACCTACCCAGCTTGGCCTTCTGCTCCTGGCACCGCTCCACGAGCTTCCGGAGCTCCTGGTATTTGTCCGAGAGATTCGAGCGGCTGATCTCCAGGGGACCCTGGAACTCCAGGTTCTGCTCAGCCAGGCTGCGGTTGGTGGCCAGTGCCATCTCGCGTTCCAGCTGCAGGTCCTGGACCTAGAAGAACAAGCCACTGGACCGTAACAAACACCACTGCTACCACTCACCTCCAGCCGCTGGGTCAGGGTTCCTGGGATCCTGGCACACAGTGGGGTCCCCTGAGCTTGGTCTAGTTCTAGCCCTGGGCAGGGCACGCAGACACAGGCACCTTCCCGAATCCTCCACCCAATGGTGGCGGTGGTGGGCACAGGTGGGAAGCGGGCGCCTGGGGGCCAGGCCCACCATGGGGTGTGCAGACTCCAGGGAGGTGGGGACCCATTTATATCAGAAAGTCAGCGGCTTTCAGGCAGAAGCAACCAAAAGTCCTGACCACTTATCCCAAGATTCAGGGTCAAGGGGCCTACTCTGAGGTGGACTAAGGGCCCAGCCAGACCACAAGATGGACAGATGTGGTCCCAAAACAGTGAGTGAGAAAGCCAGGTGACAGCAATTCAGGGAGACGTGTCCCTTCCTCCTCGGCCACGTGTGAGCACTGCAGAGAAGCTGTGCCAATGAGGCGGCAGAGGGGCCACCAGGGGCTGGTGGGGTGCCCCCATCAGCACAGCACAGGGGCCACCCAAGGCCCTAAGGCCAACCTCCATGGCTGGACAGCCCCCTGACAGCACGTCCCCAACATGAGCAGCAGCCTGCCCTCAGCTGGGTCCTAGGTTGCCACTGGCCGGTGAGGTGGCAGCCACAGGACCGCGCCCACATCCAAAGCCCCTGCCATGACCCAAAGCCCCATCTACTCTCCAGGGAAGCCCCTCTACCGGGGGCGGAGAGCATCAGCCCACCACCCCTGAAACAGTGAGGACAACACACCGACAGCACACGGGCCCAGAAGAGACTCGGGCCTGCTGGGGGCTCAGGCCAAGCTCAGCAACACCAGCTTGCCTAGGGGAGCCACTGTTGGCATCGCCGCCATGACAGCACCTGATGGACAGGCCGGCTTGGCTTGTCCACCCCTGACATGGGGGGTTCAGAATAGGGGGCTATGGGAAGGCTGAGCTGCTGACCCCTACATAGGGGCTCGAGCCCTGTGCTGGGGCAGGCCTGGGCCTGCTCCTCCTGCGCCATCCAAGTTCCAGGCTCCCTCCGCCCCGCAGACATGGTTGCTGGGGCACAGGGTCACGGGGCTGGATTCCTGGGCCTCCCAGGCCAGAGCTGTGCTGCCACAGACAGCAAGCTGCCCCCCAGAGCCGCCTGGTTGGCTGCCACAAGCACCCACAAACACATGGACTCGGACGTCGACGCTGGGGAGTCTGCCTCGCGTTTTCATTAGCGAGGAAAGCTTTTCTCCCCATATGTGCTGCCAGAGTGGAAGGCCTGAAGCCCTCTGCTCAGCTGCCCCTTGGGGGCCCCTCGGGGCCTCCATGGATATGCCTCTTTACACATCCACTGCCTTTCCCGAGTCTTAACCAACCTTGTATCACTTCCCCCAAACCTTGTCTTACCCACTTCTGCCTCCTCTCCCCACAGTATCCCCAAATCTTTCTCCACTAGGGGAGCCCCCCACCCGGCAATTATGGGGGTCACTAAGACAGTTCAAGCACTCCACCCAAAGAGCTCAACCTCACCGCTCAACCTTCCACATGGCAAGGTAGCCCCCAACCCACTTCTCTAAGCAAGCTGCACACCCCAACTAAAGGCACCCCACCTCTCCTGGCGGCCCACAGCGACACCATCACGCCCTCACAGCCCTGGTGGAAAAGCCCGTCAAAGGGGTCTTGGAAGCCTGAGGGGCTCATTCTCCCGAGTTTTCTCTTCATGCCGGGAGAGTTGTTCCTGCAGATCAGTGAGGCCCAGCCGTGCCCACACAGTCACGCTGCCTTTGCCCAGAGGTGTCCCTGCTTATGCTTCCCACCACCCGCGCGTTCCTCACAGACCCCGTCAGCTGCTCGCGGGGCGGTCGGCTGACTGTGCCTAGTGAGGCCCTGCCGCCACCCACCCTGAGAGTCCGAGTGGGCCGGGAGCCTGACCAGACTCGCCAGCTTCCGTCCTGCTGAGGGAGCTCAGGGCGAGGACAGACCAGCCTTGCGCAGCTCCCACGCCTCTCCCCTCTCCTCACAGTCTGTCCAGGCCGCAGCCCCACGGAGGCTGCTCATTTGGGAAGGGGGCCTCCCCCAGAGAGAGCACAGTGAGGTGGGGAGCAAGGCAACCGGCCCACAGCCCGCATCTGCAGGCCGCAGAGAACGGGAAGCGCCCTGGGAGGCGAAAGCGGGAGCGGGCCTTCCCGTTCCTCAGTGTGAACTTACAGACCACACACCTGCTCACCCGTGAAAACGAAAACACATCCGAATGCTAATCAAACGAGCTTGCGTATCTGCGCCTGTGACGCCTCCTAATGCAGGGGCGGGAGGCGGCAGCTTCCAGAGCACGGACGGCCCGGCCGCTCCCAGCATGCCTGTGGGTCCATCCAGCTCTGTGGCCACATCCGGTCACCGGACCTCACAGAGGAGTCGGGTCAAAGAGACAGGAAGGGCTTTCGAAAAGCATAAAGCTCTGAGACAGAAGGGTTATTTTTATCCCCCTGACGGGAGCTGACGAGGTGCGCTTACGACAGGAAACGGTCAAGCAGGTGAGCCCAAACCCGACATGAGCCCAAACCCCAGGCCGAGAAGGGCTCTTCCCAGACGCCTGCCAGCGGGCCCTGGACTCCCAGCACTGGCCCCTACAGCTCCAGAGGAGCAGGCTGGGATCTCAGGGGCTCCCTGGCTGGGTCAAACCAGAGATCAGCCATGGGAGGGAGGGGGGGGGAGGAACGTGGCCTGTCCCAGCTGCAGACCTTTACCTCGGGGGCCTCCTGGGCCAGACGGTCAATGGCCTCGGGTCATTCTGCATCTCCTCCAGCTCCTCCAGGGTCTTGTCTTTCAGGGTCTCCATCTTCCCCTGCGAAGAGAAAAAGACACTGCAGTGGGGGGGGGGGGCAGTGCGGGGTAAAGGGCCCCCTGAGCCCAGAAATACAATCGGTCGAAGACAAACGAGCACTGCAGGGGAGGCTGAGGAGGGGCAAGGCTCCATCCAGCACTGTTCCCGCCACCCGATCCATCCCCACTTGTGGGAGATGCCAGCCGCTCCTTCCCCAGAAAGCGGGGCTGCTGCCCGAGGCCAGACCACAACTCCTGTGGTGCTGAACGAAGCTCTCCAGGGGGCAGCTGGGACAGCAGACAACGGGAAAGAGCCAAAACTCGGCCGGCGGCCACCACGATGCCAGCATGTGCTCTGCAGGCGTGTAACTCTGTCCGAACCAGAAATCACACTATGCCGCGGACCAGCCCAGCAGCAGTGGGTAAATCGAGGCACTCTCAGGGAATGAGCGAGAACAAGCACGAGGTGGTCGAAGGAATTAGGGCGAGGGACGAAAAGAAAGAAATGACACACAGACACACTCTGAGGGAGTGAAAATCTGAGTGTGATTTGCTGGAATTAACTTTCTCTTTTTATACATTATTTTGACCATTACATAAGATTATTTTTTACAGTTTGTGGTTAATTATACATGAGATTATTACATGCAGTGAAACATAACAAAAAACAATATGCACCATTTCTAGATTCCATTCATGTACAATCATCAATAAATCAAGTTCACACCGAGACCACAGCAAGAGAGGTCTCCTTCGTCCTAAACCATTTTTGACCCTCAGGTCTTTCCTATTAACCTTAGTTTAAACATTGACTCAACTATTAATTTTCCATCTACATTGTGTATTATGTATATACTATAATATGGATATTTCTTTACTATTACTTATAACTATTTCTGTTGATTAAATTTACTATTATAAAATCACAACAGCTATTTCTCACATTTAGATTCTTAGGCATTTTCTGTAAGTAGCCAAACCAGTTTAAGGTAGCAACTGGGCAGTGAAGCACAAAGCTATTGAATTGTAAGCTAAAGATGAGCGGTGTGGTCTCAGCAAGCTGGGCAGTGTCAGCTGGAATACAATGGCATTGCTTTATAGCAGCCATCTTCTTCTAAGGCCAAAGAAGGGGTTTTTATGAATCCCCTCGGGGACTGCGCCTGTCTTAGGTTGTCAGGAGTCGCAGACACTTGTGCAGGCAGTGCCTTCTGTCGTCTGCCCCCGATCTTACCCGTCATTGGCTGTCCAGTCCAGCGCCCAGGGGAAGGGGGTCTTATGTACTCTGACTTTCTGGGTCTGAGTAACTGCCACCCTTTGTTCAGCATGCTCACTGACGTTCAGCAGCAGAGGCTGCCGCAGGGGCAGAAGCTGCCACAGTTCCTTCGACCACCCCGTGCTTGTTCTCGCTCATTCCCTGAGAGTGCTTCGATTTACCCGCCGCTGCTGGGCTGGTCCGCGGCAACAGTACTCTGCAAGCACCGGGCCTTCGAGGACGCCAACGTCACAGGCCCCGGCACATCGCTGCTCACTGAAGTGCGTGCACCAGCCACCTGGGGTTCCCCCCAGCAGCCTCAGCAACTGCTGCCCTCTTCACATGCCACAGAAACAGATTGTCACGTGTGTCCTCGCTGGAGTGGAACAGAACCCCCAAACACCCCCCCACACTCCCCAAGCAGTCAGGAGGAAGAGTAACTCACCCACCCAGACAGAACATCTGCTGACATGGAGCTGCCTCGCAGTCCTCAACCTGTCACTGCCTGGGGGGCACCGGTCGGCAGGGGCAGAGGGGTCACCCCAAGAAGAGGAAGCACAAACCCACCCGGTGCTCACTTCCTTTCTGCGGACAGGATCTTCTGCTTTTCTATTTTCTGGACGTGCGTGTCAGGGCCTGAATGCATGCGGCTTTTTCTCATGACAAAGTTATATTCATTTTCAAGAGACTCCAGCACTACAGCAATCTGGAGGCCCCACAGCGCTGGGTCACGGGGAGCCGGCACCCACCATCCAGACAGGGAGGCATTTGGGAATTAAAGACAGTTGTGTGGCCCGAATAACCTTCTCTGGGTCTCAGTTCCCCCCACCCCAACCCGGGGCGAGTGCACTGAAAACACACGTGCCAGACAGGGCTCAGGAAGTCAGTCTCTCGCTGGAGATGCTGAACCGGGGCCAGATTCTGAGAAAGGAAACAGCTCCTTGCTAGTCGTGTGGCAGCAGAGGCCTCGGTGACTGCGCTGTCTCCCCTCAGCCTGTGAGGTGGGGAGCAATCAAGCCACCCAGCAGCCAAAGCACAGTCCACACCTCACCCTGCTGCTCTGAGACCCTCGGTGCAAATGCTGGGGCAGGGGACCTGCGGACGGTGACACTGCCAGGTGCCCAGTGAGTGGCCGAGAGCAGGACAGGCAAAGTGACATTGTGAAGACGCAAAGCCACGTCAGCAGACTGGGCTGGGTCACCAGACCTAGCCTGAGTCCAGGGCCTGCCTCCTGCCAGCCATGGTAACATCCCTGAGCTCAAGGGCAGCCCCTTGAGCCAGCGTCTGTGAACCGGGCTGGCCCTGGCCGGTGCAGGATGAACCAGATAAGGCAGGCGCGCAGGTGGAGCTGGCCTAGATCAAACCATCTCCACACTACAGGGATTGCCGAGCGATGACTAAGGCCTCCAGCACCCAAAGCTGTGACCCAACCCTATCCCGCCCAGGGAGGGACCTGCCCCAGGAGAGGGCAGGGCGGAGCAGAGACAGCCCTGGGGGTCAGCAGCTGGCCAACCACAAGCCATCTGCACAAAGAAGCCAGCGGTGTGGAGGGCTCCCGGGCAAGGGGAGGCTGCCAGGCACCTGCTGGGAGGCCCTGAGCAGGCTACCTGGGTGGCCCCACTCTCCCCCAGCACTCACCCTGGGGCGTTAGGCTCCACGCTGCCAGGGAGGGAAGGTGCAGCCCTGAGCCACCAGTCACAGATTTTCTGGTTTCAGGACCCCCCTTGGCTCCAGACCCCCGAGTTTTTATTGATGGGGATTTTTTATTTTTTAAATAAATGTCTGTTGTTTTTTTCCAGTCTATGGTATTTTTTTTTTTAAGATTTATTTATTTATACATGCACTGGGTACAGTCAGAAGCGCGGGAGGGTGAGAGAATCCACCAGAGCCAGAGCGGGGAGCAGAGCAGGCAGAAGGACCCGAAGTACACTGCTGAGGGGAGCAGCGGGCGGCAGGAGAGGTCTGCGCGCCATGTGGGACCCTCCGGTGGCTGGGGAGCAGCTCAACCGCTGCGCCACCGGGGAGGCCCCCTGATGTGGATTTTAGTGATCAATATTTATCGCATTAATTAGAAAATTAAGTCAGGAAATGTTCGAACAATATGCAAGCACCCACATTCCACTGGCCACAGAACAATGACGTCATCACGTGCATGTATTCGCCAAAAATTCCACTGTCCATTCACTGGAGAAAGACAGCAAGAAAGGAAACTCTTAATTATGAAAGTCGTTCTGGACTCATAGATGGCTTGAGAGGGTCTCAGAGCTGCCCCCCAGGGGCCCCACACATACTTAGAGAACCACTGGCCTGGAGGTTAGAATGGAACTCTAGGGCCTGACTGCCTGGGTTCAGATCCTGGCTCTGCCTCTTACGAGCTATTTTAACCTCTTGCTGTCTCGGTTTCTCCATCTGCAAGACAGCAGTGCCTGGGACAGTCAGCATGGGGGGCGCTCACCTTCACACCACCTTCCAGGTGTGCACCCAGAGTATCACCCTTGCCCAATCTCGCAGAGGAGGCTTGGAGGAGCCCCAGGGACATGCCCCACCAGCCCAGATTGGGGGGGAGGGGTCTCAGAATCACCTGAAGTCCTCATGTAAAGCCTGAATCCCGAGTCCTAACTCCAGGGTTCTTAATGGAATTTTCACGTTTCATTCTAAGTGGCCCAGGTCAAACTCGTCTGGCATCTACTGCCTTGTTCTCCCGAAGGAACTCAGAGTGCACAGCCCCATCTGACAGAGGAAGAGACTTGAGGGTAGTTCCTGCAGAGGCCAATGCAGATGTGGGCTTCATCCTCTGAGCAGTTCCTGCTGCCTCTGCCAGGCCACCCAGGCACTTCCCCTCAGTGCCCAGGGCTGGCTCGGAGTGGGACCGTGACAGGCACACCGGGGTGCATGAGATGGGTCCCTCACTCCAGGATTCCAGCACTGGAGTTGCAGCCCAGTGACAAGGGCATCACCAAGGGAGGCAGCACTGGAGGCCCCGGCGGGCCCAGCACCACGACCACATTACTCGACAACCCAGTGAGGCCCACGCTGTGGCAGAGTCACGTGGCGACCACAGCTGCAAGGCCAGGCCAGGGAGCCCCCACAGGGCAGCCAAGGCGGAGTAAGGCCAAGGGGTCCGAGGACCCAGCCAGAGTTTATCTCAGCAGGACACAGGCAGCCGGGAGCATTTATGGGGGTTTCCTCCAAGAAGATTTGTTTTGATTATGGGAAAATCAACAAAACAAAACCTTTTTAAAACAGTCCAGTATTTTACAACGTTCTGATGTTTCCTCACTGGGGCTGATAGGAGGGTGTCCCTGAGCCTCTGTGGAGCTAGTCGGGGCCTGTCCTTCTTGGCCTTGTAGGGAACCCGCAGGGAATGCGGCGCTTGACAGAAGAGTCTGTGAAAGCAAAGCTGTCAAGCCCCCACCCACAGGCTTAAAAGTCCCAGTTCACACAAAGCAGGGCCTGATGTTGCTAAAACCTGCATGAGGCCGCCGCCCGCTTTCACAAGGGACAGGGGTTGGGGACCGCTATGGTGGCGGCTGCAATGACGTGACTTGTCATCCAATAATTGGCCAAGCAATAAACAGATGAGCGAGCGAGCCTCCTAAGGCACTGCTGGCCCGGGGAAGAGCCACGTGACCCCACTTCTTCCAAAATGAGGCGTATTCAAGACCCCACTCAATTGTGCCAAACATGCTTTTCCTGGGGACTCACTTGGCCAGCTGTCAAAGGGGTGAACCACCTCTGAGGGTCCCGTGGCGCCTTTCTTTGCAATCAAA